AATGGGAATCCTGAGTTACTAACCGGTCCACAATTATTTAAGTATACCTTCATAGTTTCATGTTACTCAGCTGAGTTGGCTTGGCTCGCCTTAAGGTGACTGAGGCTCCTGGGGCTTCCCTTCCTGGCTCCCTGGGTAAGCTGACTCTTCTTGTCATTTCAGCCCTGGAGTACTGGCCCCACCCCTCTGATTGTCCCTCACTTCTATCCTCAGGCCAAGGTACAATCTGTTTTCTTCTCTGGAACTCACTAACTTTGTAGGATCCTGCCCTTTTCCCAGAACTCCTGGATTTTCACCGTTAATCATCATAAGCACTCTTTTCAAGTCTACCTAGGACTACCTAGACCAAACTTTCCCCTATCCAATTTCCTTTCAGACTTTATGAGCTCTGATTTTTCTCCTACTTTTCTCTTGGGTTACTCCCAAGCCTTCCCTGCCTCAGTTATCTAACCGGGGTCCATGTAAATCCTCCCTTCCTGAAATCCCCTAGGACTCTCTTTCAGGAGCTTCTCTGGCTGCCTATTCACAAAGAAACTGAGCTAAAGACCAAAAAAGGGGGGCCAATGGACTCCATTATAAGGTTTCTGTCAGAGCAGGCCAAGAAATGTTAGCTCCGAAGAGCCTGTAGCCTCTGTGACAGGCGCCTTGGACCAGTACGTTTAAGAACTGATATTCTGGTTATGGCCTTATTGACCAGTAACAGCTTTAACAGACTTCATATTTTAATTCATATGAAAATGTATAAGTGCAATTTTGATGCTGTTTTAAATATTTTTCAATTTTGGAGGGAAAGTACTTAGATGTATATTTTCTTACATGCTGTGTTTTTAATTCCTTCTTATAGGTATGCACTACTGTAGTGTTTAAAACAATTAAATTTTAGAGTGAAAATCACTGTGCTTATTTTTCTTTTAAATTACCCATTTTTAAAGTTTATTAAGTCAGCGGAACCTTGCTCTCAAATAAAATGTTAACAGATTTCCCTTATATAAAATAAAACTTGAGTTTCTAGGAGGTAGAGAAGAATAGCCTCAGAAGTATTTTTGCAGGTACCATATTTTGTGGTTAACAGAGTAGGAGAAGCAGTACCTTAGAATGCTAACCTATTGTATTACACCTAAGCCAGCATAAGACATACAACGTAGCACAAAGAAAGAGAAAATATTGCCACTTTACCTAGGGCATGCCACTGACTGATTATAAGATGCAACCCACTTAAATAAATTAACATGATTTATATGAATATTTACTTATACTATTATAGATCATCAACTCTAATATACATATGAATCGTGTTAATTTATTCATATAATCAATCTGAAAATTTTAAGGGAATCACCCACAATGGTTTTAGGTAAAAGCTAGTTTTCATTTACTGAGCACTAATAAGTACTGTGCGCCAGGCAGATGATAAATGGGGAAGGTCCCTCAGCACTCCTGGCCTTCTCTCCGTTTCTTAATGTCCTCCTCATTTATTAAGCACTGTGCAAATAGAGTGCTGAATGCTGTACTTGGTTATCTCACATCATTCTGATACATGGACAGATATACAAACCATTCACAAAATCTTAAGAAGGCTTCAATGGAAACTATGGATGGGGAAAAGAACGTTGAATGTCAGTCTCACCCAGGAAGCAGTGACTTCTTCACAAAAGAACCAGACTTGATACCATGTTCAGTTAGGATAATCCAATCTAGAGACACGTGTAAGGAAAACAACACCCCTTAGGAACCCCACAAAAACCACTGACTCCTACCTACTCTGGGTGGGGTTAATCCCTTTCATCAACCAGCCCTTGCCCAAACCCAAAGTCAGACACTACCAGGAAGAAAGACACCATTTCTGGTTAAGATGTGATGCATTCCCAGGCCTAGTCCAAAATGCAAATCTCCTAAGGATGATTCTGCTCCACACCTCGTCTCTCATTGGCTTTTCCAAAACCCAGAAATGAGAAGTTAAAGTCCCACCTCCAGTACATCAGTACATAAAGAAATACAATTTAATATCTGTATTACAATCAGTAGAAGGAAAAAGCTATCTAGAAGTGCAATGGCTTGTCTTGAAGGTAGTGTGTTTCTTGTCATGTAAGAGAGAGGAGAAAAAGGTGAGCTGGGTGCAAACTAAGGGTGGTAGGCACTATCCAAAAATGGCTATAAAGAACTTGAAATATGGCTATGTGACCACAGCAGGCAATTTTTAATATTTGCTTGGTTTTTTGAAACAAGCTCTTGCTATATAGGTCAGGTTGGCCTTGAACTCACTATGTAGCCCAGGCTGTCCTCAAATTCCAAGTAATCATCCTGCCACAGTCTACTGAGTGCTGGTATTATGGGTGTGTGCCACCACACCCGGCTGCAATTTTTAATTTGACCTAATTAAAATCTAATTAAAAGGCTAATGAGGGTATGGCTACCATATTGGACAATGCAACTCTAAAAGAACAACCTCAACCTTGTCTTCAGCTTTGACATCAGAGCTGCCTCTTCCATGCCTGCTTTGAGGAAAATATCAAAGTCCAGAGCATGAGAACACAAAAACCCTGACACAGAGTTGAAAGGAGGTATCCAAATGTATGTGCTTATACTTTAAGTATAGAAGTTATAAAAAGAGATTGCATGAAAGACTAAGAGGAAGATTAGCATCTAGCCAGTATCTTGGCCACCTTAAGAGTAGATTAGAAGACTTCATGGCTCCACTTTAGTATAAAATCTTAAGAGGTGGGAAGAATGGAAACAATAGAATGGTGGTTGTCAGAAGCTGGTAGGGAGGGATGCGGGGAGCAGATGAGAAGATGCTGGTTAAAGGTTACAAAGTTAAGATGAAATAATTCTGGAGCTCTATCATACAACACAGTGAACCCTAATTAATAATAATGTATTGTAAACTTAAAACTTGCTAACATAGTTGCTGGGTGCGGTGGCATATGCCTGTAATCCCTCAAGGTTACAGCACTGGGAGCCTGAGGCAGAAAGATTACTTGCAGTTTGAGGCCAGCCTGGGTTACAAAATGCGTTCAAGGCCAGCCTGAGCTATGCAGAGAAAGCCTGTCTCAATAAGATGGAAGAACAAAGGAAAGAAAGAAAGAAAGAAAGAAAGAAAGAAAGAAAGAAAGAAAGAAAAGAAAAGAAAAGAAAAGAAAAGAAAGAAAGGAAAGGAAAGAAAAGAAAGAAAGAAAGAAAAAGAAAGAAAGAAAGAAAAAGAAGGAAGAAAGAAAAGGAAGGAAGGAAGAAGGAAGGAAGGAAGGAAGGAAGGAAGGAAGGAAGGAAGGGAAAAAATTGCTAAAACAGTAAAACTTAAATATTTTTACCGCAAAAAGAATTAAGATATGTTATGTCCCCATGATAAATGTAATCTTATATATTGCAAACATGTACTATAAAAATAAAAAATAAATTTTAAAAAGTATGCGAGGTGATGTATATATTAATTTGATTTAATCATCTCACAATGTATCCATATATGAAAATGTTATATTATACACTGTAAATACATATAACTTTTACTTGTTAGAACTTTTAATATTGAAATGACTTTAGATATAACCCAAGCAACTGTTAAAATACTGGTTACTGGTTATCCCAAAATAGTTAATCAAACACCAACTAAGGATGTGGTATGACTTCCTGATAAATTCTCTGTGGGCTGGGCATATCATAACAGTGACTGTCTTTATTTCTTGCTTCTCTTCCTCCATTCAACTCAGAGCTGACACTCCCTGTTCTTTTTATGTATGCTTCATTACCCCCATATTTAATCAGTTAATCTTGTATTTTAAGCCCAAGGACTTACATACTTTGGCCAAATTATTCAACCAATTGCTTCAGCGAGAACAAATCAGAATGGTCACTGGACTGAACTGATAAGCCCGTCAGTAAGCCTGTGTTGATATGAAGGAAGTAATGTCCTAGTTTCTTTCCCATCCATGCACATGTCCTTTTGTTGAGTTAGTTCTGCCTTTGTACAAGTGTTAGGTAAAATACTTCTTATGTTAGATAAAACACTACTTAAATAAACAAAATATAAAGTCTATTAAGAGATGAAAAAACCTCATCCAGAGAAAAATTGCAGTTGGAAATTTTTTTAAAAAAAGCTGAGTCTCCATCTATTCAGTGAATATTTATCAAAGGCCTCCTACCTATTAGACATTGCATAAAAAGCTGGAGAATAGGACAAAATCTCTCTTCCATGAGACTTGAAGTAGGAAAGAGCTTTAGTTACTGATTTTCCATCTTATAAGAGGTCTCACTTTTAATTACCTTCCTGGAAAGTAAATATTATCAATCTCATTGTATAGCTAAAGAAATGTAAGCTCAGAGCCAGGGGTGGTAGTGCACACCTGTAATCCCAGTACTTAGGAGGCTGAGGCAGGAGGATTGCTGACAGTTCGAGGCCAGCCTGAGCTACAAAGTGAGTGCAAGCCTAGCCTGAACTGCATAGCAAAGCCTTGTTCCAAAAAAAAGACAAACAAAGGAATCTCACATTTATCCAAGATTACTTTGGATAGGTTCTTTTTGTTTCTCCATACTGCTCTCCTGTGCAGTTTTTTCCTCTAATCCTTGGAGGATTCCAAATTTTAATTATTTAAAGGCTATTCACTTGCCAGGCATGATGGTGCATGCCTGTAATCCCAGCACTCGGGAGGCTGAGGCAGGAAGATCGTTGCAAGTTCGAGGCCAACCTGGGCTACAAAGTGAGCTCAGGGCCAGCCTGAACTGCATAGTGAGACTCTGTCTCAAAAAGACAAAAAAATAAAATAAAATAAAATAATAAAATAAAGGTTATTCACTTAACACAAAAGATTAAGAATACCCACAATACCTGGTAAACTTGAGACCTATTATCGAGGATCTAGATGAGCAGAAAGATTATTATCAAGATTATTATCAAGACCTATTATCAAGGATCTAGATAAGCAGAAAGAATTCCCACTCCCCACAGTCAAAAAGAAAATGGGTTCCTAAAGCATATATAAACAAATAGTATTTCAGAGAAAACTTACCGGCCACCATACCATACTTCGGCCTGCCAAGAAGAAGCCTCCAACAGTCCCACGATTAGTGGAAAGCATAGCCTGAGGAAGAAAGGACCAACAAATTAATAGAAAACTGGAAGAGTGACCTTGCTAGCTAGAAGGACACACACTTCCCCACACACTGGGATCTTCTTTTACCCCATCCTCTTTCTGAAACACTGTCACATTCCTGTTCCCCTGAAGCCTCAATGTGCTCAGAGGAAGGAGGCAGGGACCAACACTTGACAGACAAGGAAACTGAGGTTCCGAAAGTTTAGACAACTTGCCCTGGTATTAGCTCTGCAATTAGCTTACCTCATAGCTTCAAGCAAGTCTCTCCCTCTAGAATTGTTCGTTTGTGTGTTAAAGAGGGGAAAATGGAACTTCATCTTTCTTACAAGCATGTCAAGTACGTAATGAAGCAACATTCTTTTTAAACATACAGTACGGTATGTGACTTACATCTCAATAAAACTGTTTCCAGAAAAAAATGAAAAATGCTATAAAAATGCAAAGCATTCATAATAAATATTATACACAAACATCTACACACATTCAAATTCAATTCAAATCTTTCTTACCTGAGGATGTAGATAGGAGATTTCTGGAATTATTACTTAAAAACATATTGTAACAAGTACAGTAAATATGGGGTGGAGGGTTTCCTTTGGATAAGGATGAGAGAAATACTTCACAGAGAAACAGATGACCAGAAACAAATAAATCCCAAGGATTCGGGCTCCAGCAACCATCTAGGAAAAGGCCATTCTGAAGGTCATTCTGAGTCAGAGAAGGTGGATACCCTCCAAGTATGGTTGGCGGGACAAGAAAAGTTGGTTCGGGGCCCAGACACAATCCTTTTGTAGTTGATCTCAGAAGCAAGGAGCTTAGAGGAAGAATGCAAGAGCAGGACTTAAAATAGGGCGCTAGAATAATTCAGGAAAGGCATTTGCTGTGGAGAAAAGGTAAGGAGAGGTGTGTGTGCGTTGGATCTTTTCCCCTTGAGAGTCCTCAACCTCGCTTCTCTGCAAGTCCAGACTCTACATTCCCTGGGAAACCTCCCCTACAACTCTCTGCTCCTCAAGTACCCTCTCTCTACTCCAAACACCTAGAGAATCCCACTGGCTGTTGTTGTTGGTGGTGGTGGTGGTGATGGTGGTGGTTTGGTTTGGTCTAATTGGTTTGGTTTGGTTTGGTTTTGGTTTGTTTTGTTTTTTGTTTTGTTTTGTTTTGTTTTGTTTCTTGAGACAGAGTCTCCCCATTTATTCCAAGCTCAACTTGAACTCACTATGTAGCACAGGCTGGCCTGGAACTCACTGCAATCCTCCTGCCTCAGCCTCCCAAGTGCTGGGATTACAGGCATGTGCTACAACACCCAGCTGAGAATTCTACTGATATCTTGTTCAAAGTTCTTTCATTTTTTTTTCACTTTGTGTCACTATATTACATTTTTTTTGCATTTTTTCCTTCTATTAGTGCCTATTAATCTTACAAAATATTGAGTTTCAATGCATATATGTTTTGATATCGATCCCGTCTTTACACTCCCTGCACATTTCAAGTGTTTAACCTCTCATGAGGCTTAGTAAACAGCTTGTGCATAGAAAGGCACTGTTTTATGATCAAGGGATGCACGAAGAAAATTCCAGTGCTGCAGATCCCATTTGTAAATGCCATTAAATTCACCTGCTCATTCTACTACTAGATAAAAGTGTCCCGTATTTGTAAACTTCAAAGGGAAATGAAGTGCAGTTAGCGTCACACAACACTGTTGTTTTTGGTTTTGTTCTTTTCTCAGTGGAATAATGATGTTATTGAGCAAAGGAAGGAACTCAACACTATTTAGATGAGAGACAGATTTGTAAGCGGTGGATGCAAAAAAGGTTCAGACATGACCTATTGTCTTCTGACATGTAAAGTGGAACGGTTACTCAGCACAACTTACACAGGGCATAAGCAGACAAAATGGGGAAAGTCCTGGGATGCCAGGGTTGGGCTGAGTACCAGGAAGGATTTCCTCTTTGTTAGAGCTGTCCAGAGATGGGAACGGGGTCAGTGGGGAGAGTTTCTGTTGGAAGTATGCAAGTGAAAGCTGTTGACAACTTGACAAAATGATTTTGTCAAATGATCTAAAGAAGAAATGTGAAGTCAACCAACATTACCCTCTGTCTTTATGAAAATATGTGATGAAAGAAGGAATTTGGCATCAGTTGGACATGGTCATAGTGATGCAGTGGTAGACAGGCCAGTAAAGAGAGTATTTCCAGACAGGATCTTGTCTTAGGGAGGGTGAAAGGAAGAATAGTAGAAAGAGTATTGGCTTTAGCATCATCAAATCTGGATTTTAATTGTAGGTCTGGTATTGAATGATTTCTGTCACCATCTCTGATCCTTATCTGTAAAATAGGAGGGGTGAGCTCTCCAGAGGCCATTCCAGTTCACACAACAGTTATGCCATTGGTTCAAATGATTGCATAAGATAAGGGTCGTAATGACTTCAGAAGATACAGTCATATTTTAAAGAATAAAGGCCTGATGGTAAATAGTTTAGGTTTTGTGAGATACATACAGTCTGACATTTTGTTTTATTTTGTTTTGTCCTGTTTTGTTTTCATACCCCTTAAAGATATGAAAACCATTCCTCACTTGTGGCCCATACAAAAACATTCCGTGGTCAGATTTGGCCCATAAACCATTATTTTTAATATGGTTTAAGGGGTTGCAGGATAGCTTAATGAACTCTCCCACCAAGAATAAGATCAGATTAATAATTAATAAATAAGATTCAGTTTAAAAGGATATAAAATCTCCCAGGGAGCGAACTGAGAGATGGTAAAAGAAAAATGGAAACAAATACCAAAGAAGTTATCATTCAAGCCCCAAATATGATTGAATGAGGAGAAGTTGGAAGAGTATAAGACAGAACAAATAATGTTGGAAGAGACGGGGATGGTGACAGAGGGACATTGGCTGTGGGCAATTTTTCTAAATGGAGGAAATTCAATGGTCCTGGACCCTTCTATCTGTTCAGCCCAGGGATCACACAACAGTCAGAGTGTCCATCCCTAAATCAAATCACTTTTGATACCTCTATAGCTAAAAAGAGGAGTTGAGTGGAAGAAATCTAGCATGTAAAAAAATACATATATACACAAGATAGCTGAGATAATTATACTACTAATTCCTATTAGTTCATCAAAAGGAACAGTTTGTGCTTATATTATTTGATCAGTTTTCCATGCCTATATCTTATAAGCTGAGCAACTACTTTGAACATAACAATATGCAATATAGCCATTCTTAATTTCCTACTATCTTGTTTTGAAATTCTGTATCATTTTTTGATTGGGGTTTTTTGTTCTTTCTCTTTAAAATAAATAAATAAATACATAGTCCAGAGGCACTGACTAAAGCGGAAGATTAAATGCAGACAAACACGAACAAGGTTGTTAAGTAGCATTTAACAGGACAAGCGGTTCTAATTCACAGCCATTTAAAAGTGCAAACACCATTTAAAAAAAAAAAAAAAAAAAGTGTGAACCTCCTCAGGACCAGCAGGGCTAAAGCGAGATTGGTTATGAAAACCAAGATAATTAGGGATTGTCTGGGAAACAGGGCAGTAGAGGAGGGCTAGCAAAATGATGGATTCACATCTTGGCTCCAGGACATAAAAAGCAGGATAGGGTGGGTGTGAAGAAGGCAGATACAGTGGCAGAGTCCCTGGTGCTAAGGAAAACTAGGAGTTAAGACACCTGAGTTCCAGGAACAATCCCAGCTATTACAAAATCTTAAGCAAACCACAACTACAGAGGGCTTCGACTTCCTTGTCTATAAAATGGGGCTTGGTATTCCTGTTTCCCCTGTCTTGTGGCTTTTTGTGAAGATGTACTACCCATCACCTTACCCATTTTACTTGAAAGGACAAAGGGTCATATCCTAGGGAGGAAATGATAATAGTACCTCTGTTTGTTTGTTTGTTTTTAATTATCCATAGAGTCCATAAACAGGTTTCAGATTCATCTCTGCAGAATCTCGCAACATCCTTGCAGAGTCATAAGAATAGATACAGTGTATCTATTGTAAACTTGGGTAAACTGAGGCTGTGGGAAGTTATCTTGCATTATTTGAACCATGTGAAAGCCAATACTAAGCAAGTACTCTGGCTCCTAGCTGGACATTTTTGGTGAAGCTGAGAATACTGAGGAAGAGCCAGCAACACTGACCCCGTGTGACACTAGGGGAGTCTCTCTGCCACATCTGGTTTCCACAGCTTCTTTTTTTTTTTTTTTTTTTTTTTTATTTACACTTCCTTAAATCTCTGCAAAAGGTGAGCATCTAGGGAAGGATTCACACCCACGCATCTCTTCTCTGAGTCAAAAGTGTGGAACAACCACCTGCTGGCATGACGGCCTCTTTCTGCCTGTCACTTGAAGCGGCTGGAATATTAGCACACTTTTAAAACACTTCTTCTAGTTGGTGGGTGTGCCAGAGTCTGTCCTAAATGAACTTTCCAAGTTCCAGGCTGCGGAGAACAAGTTTCTCTGGTTTGGTGTGTGCCCAGCGTCCCGAGAAGAGACACCTGTACTTCCTTCTCTCTGACACCAAGCCACCCTCTGGTCTTCCTCCTCCTCCTCCCGCTCCACCCAGCTTTCCATCTCTCACTCACTCCCGCCTCTGGGAAAACCTTCCCCTGCACCCCAGGACCGGGGCGCTAGTCGGCCAACCCCTAACCCCACCTTCTGGCAGCAGCTGTGGCTTTCCCCCTCTACAATGTTCCCCTCCGAAACCGGAGAAATAAGAGGCAGGACAGTAGTCACCTGCCTGAAGACCTTCCCTGCAGGCTCCAAGTTGGAGCTTTCCGGTCCCTGTGCTCCCCTGCCGTCTGCCATCCTCCGCCTCCCTTCTCTGCTCACAGGCTCCAGGATCCTCCTCCGGCCTTCCTGGCGAGCTCCCCCAGGCAGCCGTCTGACGTCCATTCGTCCTTGCTTGCCCCTGCCCCTCGCACCATGCCCCTGAATTCCTCTCAAGCGTCTCCAGGCGCTTCTCCTCTCCACAGAGCTGCAAGCCCGCCCGCCCCCTCGCAGCTCACCCATCAATTCTCCGTGTGCCCTCTCTCACCCCATCCGGGGTCCGTCGCCCCTTCAGCCCACCTCCCCGCGCCTTCACATACCCACAGCCCAACGGCCATCACCACCACAAAGTAAATGACAATGACGGAGATGTCTGCGGCATTGCGGATGCGCTCGTAGGACTGCACAGGTTCGGAAGAGGTGGTGGCCTGTGGGCTCCAGGTGGTACTGTCCATGGCGATGGCGCTGAGTCCGTCCCGTCCGCGCAGGCCGCTCACTCTTTATGCAGCCTCCGGGTTAATAATCAAACCCGTGCCCTCCCCGAGGGAGGAGACCCGCAACGGTGGGGCAGCGAGGCAGTCGCGCCGGAGCGCTGCGCTGCGCTGTGCTGCGCTGCACCGTCGGGGAGCAGCTCTGGGCTGGTAGCGCCGAATGACTGGCGCGGGGACTGCCAGCGGGGTGGTGGCGTGCCGCGCAGGTAGTCTGTCCCTTGAGCAGGGAGAGGCCGGCCGGGGGTGGTGCCCATTTGGCACAAAGGCCCTCTGTGCTCCCGCCGCGGGCATCCTGCCTGGCTGCCACGCCTGCCTGGCCACGGGGTCCCACCCGGGCAGAGCAGCAGTGACTCCACAGAGGGACCAGGGCTCCTGGGGCCAAGAGCCTAGAGGCTGCAGGTCACCTGCCGCCTGACCTTCTGCCAGTCCCGTGATCTCTGTGGGACTTACCTCTCCCTGTGTGACATGGGTGCAAGGCTTTTCCGAGCACCCAGCCAAGTTGCTCTCTGTGAAGAACATCCTTAGGAAGACTGTCAGTGCTGGATGCTGCTGGGGAAAGTTCAGCACAATCGTCTGTTGGGCACGGGCATAGCCGTTCACCTTCCTGTGTTCCTGACTTCTCACACTCTGCAGCCCCCAGGAGCACTGTTACCCCACCATAAACAGAAAGAAACCGAGGCTAGGAGAAAGGTCCTACTGGGAGCCACTTCCTGCCCTGTCTGCCCTCTTCAGTATCTGTGAGTTCTGCATTCAGAAAATTCAACCAACTGGCTGCTGGAAATTTTTTAGAGGAAAAAAAATTGCAGCTGTGCTCAACATGTGTAGACTTTTTTCTTGCCATCCTTCCCTAAAATACAACTATTTACATGGTATTTGCATATTATTACATAATACATAGCTTTTACTTATGCAGTGGTACCTTGGTTCGTGAACTTAATTCTTTCCACAATTATGCTTGCAGTCCGGTTACAACCGGAACTGTGGGATGAATTCTGCGACCAGAATTCCGCGAAAGAATTACTGAGGTATGCAGGCATTATAAGTAATCTAGACATGATTTAAAGTATTTGGGAGGGGCTGCATGGGTTATTTGCAAATGCTATGCCGTTTTGTATAAAGGATTTGAAAACCTGCAGATTTCAGTACCTGCAAGAGGATCCTGGAACCAATTGCCCTCAGATACGAGGAACAACTATTACGTGCTTTGGGGCCCTTCTTACAGCACACAGAGGAAGACACTAGGCAGTCCCTCGCAAGGAATCCATCTAACCCTAGCCCTTCCTGGGGACTCAGTCTGCCCATCTGAAAACAGAAGTCTAAGCCACAAAACCCAGGTTCAGATGGGAGATGTCCGAGAGAGAGGAGACACGATGCTCCCAGGGTCACACAGTAAGCCAGAGGCAACCTTGGCCCTACCACCAGGCCAGGGCAGGACTAGTCCAGAGGAAGGGTTAGGAAGATGTTCTCAGGGGCTGGCCCCAGAGTCCACTGAGCCCTTTGGGAGAGGACGACCTTGCTCTAATGAGGAAACATAGGGAGGAGAAGGTGCATACACATCTTGCCAGGACTCTGTTCCTCACAGAGCCTTTCCTGTCCCCCGATTCACAGCCATCCACCCCCACATGTGAGCAGGCTACTCCTTGGCCCCTCTCTACCTCAGAGGTCTGCTTCCCATTCTCCCTTAATAGCACCTGTTCTTCCCACTGAGGCTGCAGTCAAAGAATCGTTATTTAGACGGCATGCATGTAGTTCCCCCAGAACTGCAAACTAGATAAGTCTGTGTACAAGGCCAGCATCATGCCTGCCCAAAAAGAGCTTCAGAGAATGCTGAAAGAGAAAGCTTCTGCGCAGACGCAGAAGACTTAGAGCCCACTGTCAAATGCACTGTAGAGCAGCTTGCCTTTCATCCATTTTCATTCACTCATTCATCAAAGCTTTTTCACTTGTCTCTATGCCAGGCGGAATCTCTGTCGTTTCTTCACAGCCTGAGAGCTCCTCCTCAACAGGCCTCAAATGCACAGTGTCTACTTCTCACCGGCTGAACTGTGGTCCTAGAAAGAGACCCCAGGATGGAATGACCATGAAACAATGAATTCTTATCACATAATGAAATCAGCGCCTAGATACAGAGCCATTGGATTCGGAAACTAGTCGCTGAGGAAGGAACTCACATGGCTAATTGGAATCTCTGCTCAGCCACCAGCCAGGACAGACCATGGACAGCTCACTTGAAATCTGTGACCACCCTTTGGAACATCCGTGGTACAATGTCGAGAGCAGGAACTGTTTTTGAATGATGGGTATGAAGGGTCCTTATTGTAAGACTTTTTGTCCCATGCTTTTCTCTCCTTGTGACTCAGGTGTGGAGAGCCCAGGGAAACAGGATGTTGATCAGTATATTTATTTCCTGTAGCTCCTGTAACACATTACCATAAACTCAGTGATTTAAAACAACAGAGATTCGAAAAATAAAAAATAAATAAAAAATAAAAATAAAACGGAGCTGGGGATTTAGCTCAGTGGCACAGCACTTTCCTGGCAAGCGTGACGTCATGAGTTCAAGTCCCGGTACCGAAAAAAATAAATAAATAAATAAATAAACCAGAGATTTTTTTTTCCCAGTCCTGGAAGGTAGAAGTCTAAATCTGAAATCAGTTTCATTGGGCTGAAATCAAGGTGTCGGCAGAGACTCATGCTGAGATGCTAGAGGAGAACCCTTCTTTGCCTCTCCCAGATTCTAGTGGTCGTTGGAATTCTCTGGCTTGTGCCATAATACTCTAACCCTGTGCCTCTCTCTCTCTTTCTCTTTCTCTCTCTCTCTCTTTCTCTTTCTCTCTCTCTCTCTCTCTCTCTCTCTCTCTCTGTGTGTGTGTTAAAATTCACATAGCATTAAATTTACCATCATAACCATTGTATTGTGCAACTCAACAGCATTAAGGACATTCACATTGTTGTACAACTATCACAACCATCTAGCTCCATAACTTTTTGATCACTCCAAAATGAAACTCTGTACCCATTAAACTGTACCTCCCCATTTCCACTCCTCCCAACCCCTGGAAACTACTATTCTGCTTTCCAACTCTATCAATTTGGACTACTGGAACACATCACTGGCACTTCATGTGAGTGGAATTAAATAATCTGCGTCTGTCTTCACCTCACCTTCTCTGTCTTCTTCACCTTTGTAAGGCTAAATGTGATGGAATTTAGGATCCACCTAGATGGCCCAAGATGATTTAGCCCCACTCAGAATCTTAATTTAATCACATCTGCAAAGAATTTTTTGTTTTGTTTTCACATGAAGTAGCATTTACAGTTCCAGGGATTAGGACCTGATATCTTTCTCTTTTATTAAGGATCTGAGACTAAGGCAAACATTCTTCTAGGAGCCATTTCCTTCCCTATGCCTTCCCTCTTCCATGACAGAGTGGCTATTATTGAAACTACTACACTAGTGATGATAAAGGAGTCTAGACACGGAAGGATTTGCTGAAGGAAGCAGGATTGGAGATTCTTCAGGAGGGTTGGGTAGGAGGAAGGTGCTGACGGAGGGAATGATTCCAGGATTAAGGATAAGAGCTCAGAGGTTGCCAGGGAAAGAGAAAGTAGGAAGAAGCAAGAAGTGTCAGGAAAGGAAACTCCTGAGCTGATCTCGTGCTAGCCCCAGAGAATAAGCATGAGAAAATAGAGAAGGTGGAAAGCATAAAAAAAATAATGTTTTCCTGACTCTCCCTCTAAAACCGAAGTCAATAGTAGCTTGACTCCTGGTGGGGTCCTTCAGAGATAATATGCTTTGTTACTTTAGGTGAGTCCTGTACATTCTCTGTCTATAACCTCTGCAATAGAGATCAGAACCCAGGCTTCTTGGCAATTGGCTGTACCTCTTTCTTCTAGATACCTAATTCCAAACTAGCATTGGAAAGGAACCACAGGGATAAAAATCTGCAAGACACCCAGCTACCTTTCCCCAGAGCTCTTCACAGGTCACTGTCTCAACCTGGTCGTGAGCCTGGGGTACCAGGAAGAATGCATGGCCGGGTGTCAGGAGCCTGCATCAGGTGCTGGGTCTTCTGCCAAATGACCTTAGGCAAGTCACTCCCCTCTGTGAAACAGTTTCCTCAAGTGTCAGATTGGCAGAATTTGACCAGTTTTTCTCTTAAGAAGGATCCTAGAGCCAATTCTGACTTTAGCCAGACTTCTAAAACTCCTAGGCCTTTATCTCTTCTCTATCCACTGGAGACAAGAGAGCTGGAAAGAATCACATCAATCACAGTTTATATTAAACTTCATCCCTTCCATATCTGCTGTCTGCAGGAATGAGATTTTTAACTGCTAACCATCATTTTTAAAGGTGGAAAGAGGGGAACATGACCACTGCTCATAAATTAGTGCACTCCTCCCCACACATTTCTCATCCAATGAGTTGGCAGGGGCTACTTAGCCAGGGGCCCTGGAGTGGAATTCTGTCTTGTGCCTTCCTTAGGGAGGTGAGCTCAGAACAGATTATCTGACTTGTCCTCACTTGCAACATGGGGATAATAATATCTAAGATAAATGTGAGAGCATCTCCACATCTTCCAAGCACATATTTTAGTGTTCAATAAAATAGTTAACTGTTATCTTCTTTATCACAGTCACCTTATCTAGACTCTAAGATGAGGCATTCCCAACTGGGCCCGTGCCCTCACAGAGCAGAAGACAAGACACAAAACAGAATACATGACGTATGTGTTATGACTAGTAGCACATTTTCAATTTTCACAATGACTCTATTGCTTTCTCTATTTTATAGGCAGCGTACTAAGATGCAAAAGGGTTAAGCAATTTGCCTCAAGGTCCCTCAGCTATTGCTCAAGCTCGTATATTCTACTGCACTTTAACCAATAGTGCAGAAAGGAGGGAGAGGATAGAGCAAAACAAGAAATAAAATCTGAGTCCCGATTCTGAGGACACTCTTGTGCCAGCTGCCCCCTATCCCTCCTCCACCATGTCCCCAGTCAGGCACTTGGCCCCAGTTGCCTGTAGACGTGAGGCATTCCAGTGAGTTATTAATTATAACAAATGCAGACAAAAGGTAACATTGTTCTATGCATCATTTTCTGCCAAATACTTTGGTGAGCCAAAAGGGTAAGAGCAGGTGCACTAGG